TCTTCTCTTCTCTTCTCTTCTCTTCACTTCTCTTCTGTTGTCTTGTCTTGTCTTCCCTTCCCTTCCCTTCACGAAGCATCTTCGTATTTAGCAGTAGTTTTAGCAGAGTCGAGCACACGCTCCTAACCAATCAGAACGCGTAATTTATAGCAGTTATTTTATAATAGGTCACAGTCTTCTATCGTGTCAGCCCAAAACACAAAGTTAAGATTGTCAAGGTAGGAAAACTTTTCTCTTGTCTTCTCTTCTCAATATGATTAGTGCTGCGTCTCATACCTTGTTGGGTGGGGTAGAATGTTACGAGACACTTCTAAGTTATTCAGATAAAGACCCGACCCAAATGGATATGTTTTCTAACTTTTAAATTATGTTTGCCTTGAAGATAAGTTCCGTTCAGTTTCATAAAAAATATAAACTTACTATTGCGATTGTTAACCCTGCGCTTATACAAACTCATAAGGGTTTTTAGTAGGCTATGAACAGGAGGCTTACAACTGAGGGGTGGGGTGGGGGTGGGGGGCTTATAAAAGGGAGGAGAAAAGCGTCTAAAATCCCTTTTATTACATCTTAATCGAGCACGGTGTTCATGCAAAAATAGCAGTAATAGTTTTGAAACACGAATGTGCTCAAGAAACAAACTATATCATCGATGAAGGAGCTATTTCTATTACATACGGATGGGCTTATATTATAATCAGGGGGCTTATAACCGGGATTCTACTGTATCTATCTCTACTCACATTTTACTGGAAAAGAAAAAAAAACTACACAATGAAAAGTCTATTCTCTCCACTATCTTCCCAACATATTGACCTACACAAGGAAAGATCTATTCTCTCCACTATCGTCCCAACATATTGACCCACATTTTCATCTTGTTTCTCAGGCGCTTCAAGAACATGGTCATGTAGTGGCCATGACAGGAGATGGTGTCAATGATGCTGTAGCTCTCAAGCGTGCAGATATAGGTGTAGCTATGGGTAAAACTGGCACAGATGTGAGTAAGGAAGCAGCTGGTATCATCCTGGTCAACGATGACTTCAATACTATCATGGCGGCCATTGAAGAAGGGAAGGGAATCTATTACAACATCAAGAATTTTGTGCGCTTTCAGCTGAGCACGTAAGTCATTATTAATTAATTAATTAATCAATTAATTAATAACCTTTATTTACCGTGGTCAATGGACTTAGCTAAAAGCTACTTCACAGCCATGCCACACACAAAAATAGACAATAGACATTATGAATAAAAAGTAATTTAAAAGCTTATACATAAGAATAGACTATAAAAATATGAGGTGTCAGTCATAGTACCATTTTCCCGCCAATACACACGCGTACGCGTTTCATCTTTAGAGTTTGCCGCCATATCCACAGGTTCAGTAAAACTTTTCCCTCGCTACGCCATTGGTGGTAGGTCAGCTTTTAGGTATTTCATGGAAGAGGTATCTTTTTCCGTTCACAAGAGGAACACAAAAGTTAATAGTCCTTTGCGTCGATACAAGAGTCCCTTGGTCTATAGCATGAGGGGATTGAAATTTTCTTTGTCAAAGGATCGACGTCCACACTTGTTTTTCACTATCACTGGTTTCTGATTGGGTGACTTCTGATTTAAATGAAAAATCAGAACCAATATTATGATTCAAGGATATTTTCTGTGGTCACGTATTCCATTAAAGAAACAGAAAACGCTTGCTCGTGCTGTGTGCAGTTATAAAGCACGTGGGGGTTAGCAGAACACGAGAGAAGTGTTAGGAGAAGCACGACGCTTAGCAGACACTTCTCGTGCGTTTTACCAATCCCCAAGTGCTTTATAACTTCTCACAGCTCAGCTAGCAAGTTTTTTGTTTCTTTAATAAAAATTCAAATTAGAATAACCATTATTTTGGATACGAATTTCGAAACAGAAAGTGTACACGCGTGCTCTATGTTCTCATAAAGCACACGCTCTCAACCAATCAGAACGCGATATTTATGACAGTTATTTTATAACTAGTTTTCGCTGGTAACCATACGCTAACTAGAAGAATTTTTCTTTCATTTTATCAGGAGTATAGCTGCCATTTCCCTCATTACAATCTCTACCTTCCTCAAACTTCCTAACCCTCTGAACGCCATGCAAATCCTATGGATCAACATTATCATGGACGGCCCTCCTGCTCAGAGGTAACGACGGTGTCTTCGCTTTCTTTCTTGTTTTATTTTTCATTATTTTATTTACTGTTCATAATGTATGGCAGGGGGGGGGGGCAGGTGAAATTGAGGGGGGATCGGGAAAATTTTGGTAGGAAAAAGGGGGGATGGGCAAGTTTTTATCAGAAAAATGGGGGTGTATGCACAATTTTTGGAAGAAGCTACAAGCCTTGCTTAGGGGGGATTTTTTTGCATGACTTTAAGGGGGTGTTAAGAATTATTCTGGACATTTCAAATTTTCACCTGCCCCCCCCTCTCTCTGCCATACATTATGAATACAGCCTTGGGACGTTCATGGGCATTGTTCGCGTGCATTCTGTCTACGCATAAATTTAAAGAGCGCGCTTTCATCGTGATGACGTCATTCCAATGTTTTGATAAGCAAAATATCACGAAGAGCTTCATTAATCTTTTATAGCTCTAAAACAAAGTCGGGCAGCCCTCTTTTTTATTTCGTTTCTCTGAAGTACTTTATAATGCCGATTTTTAGGGAAAAAATAAGAATAATCTGACGATGGGATCAAATCGAAATTTCATATTTTGTGCATTATTGGAATAGAATTTCACGCAACGTGAAGGCTCCAAGTCAACACTTGTAGCCCAAAAAAAGGTATATTTCTAATTTTTATCACAAATTTTAAATGCCAATTGGTTATTTTCTAGAGATCTGGGGAAAATGGGGACAAAAAATTTATTTATTCAGTAAAATATGGCCTATTTTTGACAGCTTTCCATGTATACATTGTTCGCGCGTTTTTATCGTAAAAAGGTGAACTTACACGCATTCTGACAGCTAAACGAAGTTTGTGACCCCCATTTTTTATTTGCTTATTTTACTTCTAGTATGATGTAGTTTCCTCGTGCAAATTTTTTTAAGTCTGACGATGGGGACTTTTGCTCATGAACGTCCCTAAGCCCAGAATGGGTGGGAGGGGTGATTATTAGAGAGGAAGGCTTATAGAGGATTTACGTTACTTTTATCTCATTCCTTCAGCCTTGGTGTAGAACCAGTGGAACGTGACGTCATGCGTAAGCCACCACGTAACGTCAAAGACCCGATGATCACCAAGAGTCTTCTTATGAAGGTGCTCTTATCGGCAGTGCTCATAGTCACTGGTACATTATGGGTCTTCTGGAGAGAGGTACAAAAAACTAGACACACACTCAGTAACGTAGAGTGTACCATAGAAGAAGGTCAAAAAATGGCCGCCATGTTGGTTGACATGACAAAAGACACCAAGGCCAAATCTTTTGTTCCAGTCAACCAAAATGGCGGCTATGACATAACCTGCACGCCCCTGCATTACCTGTAACAATGTTGTTGGGTTTACTGCTGGTTAGTGACTTTATTCTAAGTTATTATTATTATTCGTTTCAGATGCGTGATAACATCATTACCAAACGTGATACAACCATGACGTTCACGTGTTTCGTGTTCTTCGATATGTTCAATGCTCTCAGCTGCAGATCACAGGTGTAGTGCAATATCTTTTCACACGCCACGATGGATTCTCCTTATCCCTCCTATTTTTCCTCGCAAAACACCTAATTACCTTATCGTATGTAAATTGCTCAATTCAAATCACGTGATGTTTCCATGAACTCTCTCAACAATTGTTCCTTTATCTTTCTGAAATATATTCGTTCATATTCATGTGGATATGAAAACATTAGAAAGAAGCATTTCTCCAGAGAACATCATGTAAACATCACAGGGTTTGAATTGGGCAATTTATATACGAAGGTGAAGACGGCCATTTTTTTGCTGCATATGTAAAAGTGAATAATGGAGAATTTTGTTTGAAACGTCATAATGTTTAACTTATCCCCCCCTCCCCCAAGAGGCTATATTTTTCAATGATCCCCCATTAGTGTTTGCTACTGAGTGACCCCCTGTGATATCTGTCAATACCCCCTCCAAGTTGTATGAAAAAAACACGTGACCCCCCTCCCCCCCCACCCCACCCCACCTTTAATCCTCCGATCCCCACTCCTCTAGGCGATAAATAATAATCGCTCCCTAATCATTCTTTTCGTATAGGAAAAGTCAATCTTCACGGTTGGATTCTTCAAGAACCGTTTCTTCCTATATGCCGTCGGCGGCTCTCTGATTGGCCAGATGCTAGTGATATATTTCCCTCCACTACAGGCAGTCTTCCAGACGGAAGCGCTACACATTCTAGACATAGGCCTATTAATACTAGTGTCGTCGTCAGTCTTCTTAGTGGACGAGTGTAGAAAGTTTATAAGTCGTAGATTCTCGCGTGAGAGGGGCTTGGCTTATAAGAAAATGTACCCCGTATAGCACTACTGTATTTAAATTATTTTCTAGTAAATTAGCAATAATAATCTTTTTGGGGAATACCTACGTCACCTGCTAAGGTAAAGGTGTAAAGGTAAAGGTGACGCATGATGGCGTCATTGACCTCTACTACCAGGCTCCCTTGCACACTTTCTTTTGTTCAGTTAATTAGCACCAATTGTCTTACTATTCTCATAAGGAAATACAAATTTAAAGAAGAAAGAAAATTTGCGAAGCATCTTGGTAGTTGGATTCAAATGACCGTTCATTTTTTATTGGGGAGGAGTGAGATGGGGTTCACTTAGTAACCCTGACCCCTCCCCCCTCCGACTCCCTGGTAAAAAATAAACGACCCTTGTGAATACCAATCGTTGTTATACGCCAATGGATGACGCCATAACAGATAATATAATCGTCTAAAAATTTATCATAAAAATAACTAGCTTTTTGTAAAAACAAATTTCAGTGAAAAGCTAATGGGCCAATCGTGTAAAAGTTTTGATAAAAAGTATTTAAAAGTAATTGAATATTTTATAATACAACAAATGTTGTGCATAATAATTTATAGTTATTGCCTTGAGCAAATCTTTAATCAATTCTGATTGGCCGAAAATCTATCGGTAATTTCGATTAGCGGAATACTACGTTAATTCTGATTGGTACAATCGAATTAGTGACGTATTAATATTCGTTGCTGGAAAACGATTTGCATGTTTTTTCCGAACCTGACGGTAAAATGTCGAGGGAAAAAACATCGCTTTGCTGTAGCATGAATATTGACAGCAATAATAGTTAAACAAAGACTATACATTTGTATTAAAGAGTTTTACTGTCAACTTGAAAAATGGAAAAAAGAATGAATGGGAGGGGGGGGGGGGGAGAAGTAAAAAAAAGTTTTCAAACTTGACCTTTAATTTTGGGGTTCCTGTGGTGAAATTTTAAAAAATTCCTAAAATTATTATTTTTTATAAAGCCTTACTATAGAATTAGTTAACATTCTTTAAGTAGATCTTCGAGTTTCACTTTCTTTTTATTCCTAAAAAACGCATTACATTTACTGCAACCTCAACCCAACCCAAACCACAGGCAACCCAGGCTGGAACGTTTTTATCCTTTTATTTCCAAACTTCTCAAAGCTTTCCAAACGTACTTTTGTCAGGGTGTTTTTTTTTTGGTGCATTATAAGAGCTGTTATGTAAGTTTTACTTAAAAGGGAAAAAAACCCAGAAAAATATGGAATATAATAATGTGATTTTGCGATTGTGTGACCTGATGACTTAGTGACTGACAGTCCAAGTAAGACGAAAGAAAACAATGGGATTAGTGTATACTATGTATGCTAACTTTTTTTTTCCAAGTAAAATTACTCTATTATATAGAGTGTTAACTTACAGAAATTTTGAACAAATGGATTTTTTTAGCAGCGAATAACAATGCTCTAAATGCATTCCTTTTCAGTCTTGGGATCTCAAGGGATTCTTTGAGTTTCTTTAGTGCGCAATAGGCGTTTCCAAAGATAAATATCTCATTGTTCAATAGTCCAATAAGAAAAAGAGCTAATGGTAAGGAAATTAAGATTCGTTGAGCACTGAAAATTATCTTTAGAAAGATTTATTGTTTCGTCCGCCATATTGATGATATGATCGAGCAAAGAAACGACGATGGAGCGTGGAATAAGTCAAGAATGTGGCTGGATTCAACTTGTAGATGCCCGGTACGTTATGTCTACAAAACAACTTCAGGTTTGTCACTTTCTAATCAAGTTTATTGGGTGTATTTCGGTATTTGTTTAATTTGCATAACACAATAAGGAACTGGTCATTGATTATTACTAGGGAAGGGGGGGTGGGGGGTATCTGTGGTAAACTAGCTAATTTTTCTAAGTTCAATTTCAACATTTTTGAAAGAAAATTTAATTCTCATAAAGTTTTATAAGAATGATTTATTATTTTAGGGCAAACAGCCGCAAGTTCCGCTTATCTTTTTTAATCGTAACACGAAACCCCGTAACACAAGACAAACCACACAGACAACCCAGACTTGAACTTTTTTGTCCTTTTATTTTCAAACTTCTCAAAGCTTTTCCAAGCCTTTTTCAACGCAGTTATATAGCACATTATAAGAGCTATAGTCTGGGTTGCCTGTGGTTTGACCTTGCATCCTACAAACCACAGGTACCCCAAACTTGCTATTTTTCGGCTCATTCGTCGATTTGCAGCAAGGGATTTCAATATTTTTTCATACATCGCGGTTGTACAGGAGTTCTTCTCCACGAGAAAATGCAAAAACAAGTTTAACAGTTTCATTTGCGGCCAGGGATTCCAATTGATTAATTTTTCATATACCGGTCTCCCAAAAACCTGTTATACAGGAATTTTCCTCCACTAAAACATGCAAAAACAAGATAAACAGTTTTTTATACGATTGAATATTATGAATTCATCGTTTTTCAAATGATTTCAATATCTTAAGTATATTTTTTAAGCATTTCAGGATAGATATTCTGTCACCTGAACCGTTTCAGATTACTCCGACGAAGGACTAGCGTCCGAAACGTCAGTAAGTTTTTTCATCTTTTCACGGTGTATAATTTACCTTTTCATCATTGTTTGTTTTTGTTTCCTTGCCTACCTTG